TTTTAATGGATTTTTAAAAAGCTGGCATGGGCTGGGAGATACCTTGTGTTGAGCTTGAGTCTTACTTGAACAAAAAAAAATCACTGCTTTTCTACAGTTTCATTCTACAAACTCAGAACAGCATGAGAGTTTCAGTAATGCTCCTGTGCCTTCTGTTCTCTGGGATCCTTCCAGCCCAGGTGAGTGAACAGTGCAGCTCCACCCTGGGGAGTGGCAGTGCCACGGAGGAGGTGGCACTTGGTGGCACTCAGCCTCCTGTGCTGCCCCAGGATGCTCCCACAGCGACCCGTGAGCACGGACAGCTTAAAGCTGCATTTCTAGAAACCTCCTCCGATGTTCTGTGTGGGTCTGGGGGTTGTGATGACGAGTTTTAGATGCAGAGGCCATAAATCAGCTCTCAAGCTTGCAGTAATACTGGTATAAGGAGTTATGGGGAAGGGTGGCTCAGGCACAGCCACTGACAAATGCAGGATGGAAATGCAAGTAGAAAATCATTCTTGTGGCAGTGGAAGAGAATCTCCACAGTCCTGGGGAGGAATTAAAGTTGTGCTTGGCAGATGGATGCCTGGGAAGTTTGGAATTTCTCCAGGGATGTGATTTCTCAGAGGTGACCAAGCCCTGACACAAGAGCCCAGCCCAAGCCCTGCCAGCAGCACGGGCTGGCTCCTCTCTCATCTCAACTGTAGCTCCAGCTGGAATGCAAAGAGGAGCAGAAGGAGGAGAGGAAGGGAAGGAAGTTTGACCATTAAGGACAACTCCCTGGGGTGAATTTCTGGAAAGTATCATCTTGGAGTTTGCTTAAAACCACAGCTGAGCTGGACGAGAGATGGGCATCAAAATGAGGCAGCTCTGGAGAGGGGAGCAGGTCCCTCAGGCTGCCCTTCAGCCCCTGCTGAGGTGACCCAAGGGCAGAGCTGTGCTGGTCCCAGCAGAGGCCTGCAGTGAGGAAAGGCTGGGGCCAGAGCCCTGCAGGAGCCACCACTGCTGCCCTGCAGGAGCCACCACTGCTGCCCTGCTGCCCTGGTGTAGGGATCCAGCCAGGCCACCCCAATGTCTCTGGCACACTCCAGCTGTGAGCTGTCTGCCCCACCCAGCTGTGGGCTGGGGGCTGTGGTGACAGGGGACATCTCCAAGGCTGGAGAGATGCTGACCAGGACTGGAACCATGGACAGAGTGGTGTCCTTGTGCTACACCCCGGCACCAGCAGTGGGACACCTCTGGTGGCAGTGGCACCACTCTCAGACTCTGCCCTGGTGGCAGTGGCACCATTTGCCACTCTCAGACTCTGCCCTGGTGGCAGTGGCACCACTCTCAGACTCTGCTGTCTGCCGTGGCTGTTCCCCCTGCCACCTCCTGCGCCCCAGGTTCCCAGTGGGACCCAGCAGCAGGAGCAGAGAGGATCCATCTCCCCCGGCCCAGCCTCCAGGGAATGAGCTCTCAGCTCTAAGCTGGTCACGCAGCTCCCTCTATAGTCACTGGAGAGAGACGGGGACTGGTGCCACTGTCCCTGTCACCGGGGGCTCTGCTCGGCTCTCCCAAAGCCAGAGGGGTTCGGGTTCTGCCTCACTCAATGCCCGTGACTGGGTGAGGAAAACCCTTTATGTGCACCCGTGAAATCCAGGACGGGAGGCTGAGCCCATGGGGACAGATCTCACCTCCCTCTGCTGCAGCCCAAAGTGCCTCCAAAATTCAAATGTCAGGTCTTGGCCCTTGGTGGGGGCAGGCCAGAACGGGAGGGAGGCTGGGAGTGCTTTTTGGGGTTTGCACAAGGCATGAAATGCTCAGCACAGCTGGAAAGCTCCCCAGGCTGCAGCAGCACCAGGCACACAGACAATCCCATTTCCTCCCAGAACACGGAGCCCTGATGAATGTGACCTCTCCAGGTGCCAAATCCTGCCCCTGCACGAGGGCTTTGCGCCGGCAGCCTCAGCACAGGCGCATTCAGAGCACGTCTCGTTTGTCATCTTTTCATCAAAAAGTGTGCAAAGCCTCTCCCTGAAGTGCAGAGCTGTTTTACAGCCAGGCTATAAAACCCTGCAGACTCTCTACTCCAATGGAATTACATTAGTGCCAATAATCTGGCAAATATCAGGAGGGAGTTTAATCAAACAAACCAACAGCAGGGCCCTGATTTACAGCGGCCCATGACAGAGCGGGGTGGACGAGGGTTTGCAGGACCCAGATGTGGAATTTCACTTGCAACATCATTTGGAGCAGAGGGAAAGCAGAAGGAACTGGAAGCATGGCTTCAGCATGCTGGGAGCTCTTGGTGATTTCTCAAAAACCAGGGAGAAAAGAGGAACAATTCGTCCTTGTCCAAGTCTGAAAAAAGGAACGTGAAAATTTCTTATAGCCCGAGTTTTGCTGCTTCTCGGGACAGCCCCCACAGCAGGGGTGTGCCCAGGACGGGGGTGTGATGTGTCTGCCAGGACAAAGGGCATCCTGCTCCCCTGCCCGCTGGGACAAGCCCACCCACCCCCCTGGAGGAGGAGCAGGGACCATCGGGCTCCTCCAGGCCAGGATCCACGGCTGGCACACAGATCAGCTGCAGTCTGACCTCGGAATGCCAGGAGAGCCCTGGCTCGGTGTCCCAGGGGCTGCCTGACCACCCACCCGGAGCAGTCACATCCTGCATGCCCAGCTCCGTGCCCAGCTGCAGCCTGGCAGGCTCTGGCACACACCCAGCACTGCCGCTCCGTGCAATATCCCTGCTCCATCTGTCATCAATTCCTTTGCCTGTGGTTTGCAGCCTCCTTGCCACGGCCTGCCTGGCGTGGCCCTGTCCCAGGGCATCTCTGGCCACTGATAACTTGCAGGCTTTTGTCATTTTTGCAAGGAAAACCACTGGAAGCAAACTCAGAGCAAAGCACCTGGCACGGCTGGATCACTGTTAGCCATCAGGGAAAACGATCCTTAAACCCCAGCTCCTTATGCCTTCACCTGCACTGCTGATCTGAACTTCAGATCATTAGCAAGGTCCTTTATGTATCAATTATTAAAGGTTTGGCTGTTGGAAACACAAGCAGCCCTGAGCTGGGCAGGGGGTGTTGCCCAGCTCTGCTTTCTGCTCCCCTTTTGCTGCCTGAGCCCCACCCCAGCCCTGCTACACGTGCAAAAGTTTGTGGAATTCTCCTTTTCTCCAACTTAAAAAGAAGGAGACATTGTGCAAGCATTTCTGCAATGTCATATTTTTGCATAACTACCCAAACCAACCATTTCAAACAACGCAACTCCAGCCTCTTTCATTTGCTGATGTTCGATGTGCTGTGAGTGGAGGCACCTCGTGCATGGGATGGAGTGGGAGATGAGGAATGCAAGGCACAGCTTAGCTGGATGTGTCTCTTAGGCTGAATAAATGGAGTTGAATTAATGAAAAAATGTCTCTGGCAGCTCTTTCACGGAGCCTTTGCTGTGAGATCACCCAAGACCTTGCTGGGGTGGGTGAGAACCACGAGCTCCTCAGCAGCTCCCAAGGCACCAGGGCTCTCTGAGATGCTTTTATTTAAATGTATTATGTGTGGGGCATGATCAGAGTGATGTGATGGATTAACGAATCAGGTTTTATAGAGCAAAGTATAGAGAAAGAATGGTTGTGCTGGGTGCAGGCAGTGATGAGGGAGGTGGCTGGGGCAGAGCTGAGATTTGGCCATCGCCAGCTTCAGGTGAGGGAGAGGCTCCAGAGGGCAGAGCAGGAGAACAGAGATTGCAAAGAGGATTTAATAGAGAAAATGATCCTGCAAGCCAGATGCTGCAGCCTGGAAACCTCCCAGAGGCCAGTGATGTCTTCTCAGTGCTCGCTTGAGGAAACTGAGGCATAGAATGGTGCAGGTGCCTGCAGGTGTCACCTGGTCAGGTTTTTGGGCAGGCCTCAGTGCTGTCAGGGACACTGAAGGGCCCGGGGACAGCAAGGAGAGACAGACAGGAGAGGGGAACAGCTGCCAGAGGTGAGCTGGGAAAAGCAGGAATGAGCACCTGGGAAATATCAAAAAATATCTCCTTGGAATTGTTTTTACAAGATTCAAAAAAGGGGGAGTAGGACTGTCTGAAAAAGGGATTTTTTTTCTGCTATGGAAAAAAAAGTCTGTTTTCAGTAAGAAAAAAAAAAAAAAACAACAAAGCAAAAAATTGAAAATGCTGGAGACCCAAAACTTCCCAGCCAAAAATACTCATCTGAAGCCAAAAAGCTTTCCATTTCTTGTTGAAACGAATCTTTAGAGAGAAAAGAGCTGAGCATGTCTGTGGGAAACCCCAGAATTTTCTAATCTGGCTTTTGAATGTTTGCTTGACTCCTTTCACTGCACCTCAGGTTCAGGATTTCCATCTCTTCCAGCAGCAGCTGAGAGTAAAAAGGGTTTATTTGCAGGATTTGCTCTTCTTGCTGCTCCCGCCCCAGCTGAATCCCAGCTCGCCTCCATGGCCACACGAGGAAACCTCAAAATACTCCGAGCTGAAAATAAACTCGTTTCCCCTTTTTCTGTTCTCTCCTCGTCCGGAGGAGTGACAAGTTCTGTGCGTGGGCTCAGCTCTGCCTGAAGGGTGGGAGCTGGAGACGGGGCTTGGGGGAGGCTGATTTAAATCCTACATCTCACCCATGCTTGGGATTTTGTGTCCTTCTGCCCTTGCAGAGTGACGACCAGGCAGGAGCAGATGAAGCACCACTTCTGAGTGATAAACCCTGAAATAATTCAAAGCCCTCCTCAGCATTGAGGGCTTCCATTTCCATGGGCTGGTCCTCAGCAGGAGGCTGGGGAGAGCAGGGAGAGGTGATGGCACGGGATGTGGGTGGCCTTGTCCTCACCAGGAGGCTGCAGAGGTGGCGGCAGGGAACGTGGGGGCAGGAGAAGCCATTCCAAAAGGCAAAAAAAGCAATTTCAAAGGGGTTTGGGAGAGGGAGGAGCGGGAGGAGCTCGGCGAGAGGGAGAGCTGCGGGAGCAGAGGTGCAGGGAGAGGCTGGGGAAGGAGGAGCTGGCACTGGCACCCCGCCGTCGGTGACCCCGTACCTTTGCAGGCCTTGCGGTGGGAGATGGGCTTGCTGAGGTCGCGGTAGAAGCCCTCCTTGCAGTAGTGGCAGTGCCTGCCCGCCGTGTTGTGCCGGCAGTTGAGGCACACGCCGCCGCTCTTGCGCCCCGACAGCTTGAACAGCTCCATGTTGAAGCGGCAGCGCCGCGCGTGCAGGTTGCAGTTGCAGGCTGAGAGAGGCAAAGGGGGGACATTGTCACCATCTGTGCCCAAACAGGGAGGTACCAACCCTGGGGAGCTGCTGCCAACCCCTCTGTGCCCTGTCAGACTGGGGGGGTTACGGATGGGAGGCCCTGGTGGCACCTCTGGATGTGGGAAGCCAGCTGCTCACCCACATCCTGAGCTGTACTGGGAGGTGAGCCCATGTGTATGTGATTCTGAGATTCTGTGATTCTGAGATTCTGTGATTCTGTGATTCTGTGATTCTGTGATTCTGAGATTCTGTGATTCTGAGATTCTGAGATTCTGGGATTCTGGGATTCTGAGATTCTGAGATTCTGTGATTCTGAGATTCTGTGATTCTGAGATTCTGGGATTCTGAGATGCTGAGATTCTGGGATTCTGGGATTCTGGGATTCTGAGATTCTCTGATTCTCTGGTTCTGTGATTCTGTGATTCTCTGGTTCTGTGATTCTGTGATTCTGGACAGGCCATTGCCCTCCAGCTCTTTGGAGGGCAAGACGAGGTTGCCAAGACCAGATTTCCCTGTCCTGCCTTGCATTCACTACGGCTTTGCCTCTCCCTGCTGGCACTGGGGGTTACAGGGCACTGTGAGGGCAGGGGCCTGTCCGTGGACAGAGGACAGAGCACACAGAGCCCTGTGGCACCCTCAGCTTTGTCACAAACACTCTGTCGCAGGACAGAGCCCTGTGGCACCCTCAGCTTTGTCACAAATACTTTCCCTGTGGAAGCACCGATTATTTCCCTTCCCAGCCACTCTCACTTTGTGTTGTTACTGCTCAGTGCAGAGGTCCCCAAGCTGCTGAGGGACCCCACTTCCCAGCACCTCAGGGACCCCCTCAGTCCCTGTGGGACAGGCTTTCCATCATCACCTGCCCGACCTTCCCCGTTTCCCACTCTCACCAATTCTGCCACACGTTTGAGCTCTGAATACCATTCCAAGATCTTCCTAGCTGGTTTCTCCCTCAGCTTTCCACACCCCAGGCTCTGTCGCTCACCTGCAGCCCTGACCATGCTGATAATCTTCACTTCTGCCCCTGCACCCCCCATCCCGCCTGGGACAGGCCCAGAGTGACACCCAGTTAGCCAAATTCCAAAACGCACCCCCCTGCTTTGTTTGCTGTGACTGAGCTGTCCAATTCCTCCACCATATGAGCCTAAAGTCAACACCGGGCCTATTTTAACAGGGGGCCTTCGCAAAGGACAAATTCGGGACTTCAAAAGCTCGACCCCTCGCCCGCCTCTCCCCAGAGCTGTCAGGGGCCATCAAGATGCAGTTGCTGGGGCTCTGTGCTTTGCTGAGAATTTTATAGCTTGTTTTCTTTTCCCGTGGCTTTTATTTGCTCTTCACCCCTGAACAATGCAGCTGTGCCATGCCAGCCCACAGCTGGGCCCCTCGCCTCGGCACGGAGGTGTCACAGCTCCGGCCTCGTCACCTTCCCTCAGCGCTGAGACGTCTTAATCCCTCATTCCTTCCTGTTTACCTTATGCTGCTCCCCCAGCACAAAGCCACGCCGTATTTGCTCAATTATCAAATTTCAGCCCAGAAAAGGACAGCGGGGTGTTTCTCGGGAACAATTCCCGGCTGACACCGTGCCAGCGCAGGGGAGAGCAGCACCCCGTGCCCGTGCCCCCCGCAGGACACAGCCGCTTCTCCCTGCTCTGCCGCCGGAATTGCTCCGGCTGGCACGGACAGGCCGGACCTCACGTCCCCACCAAAACTGGCACAGACAGGCCAGACCTCACGTCCCCGCCAAGGGTGGCATGGACAGGCCGGACCTCACGTCCCCGCCAAGGCTGGAACTGACAGGCCGGACCTCACGTCCCCACCAAGGCTGGCATGGACAGGCCGGACCTCACATCCCCGCCAAAACTGGCACAGACAGGCCGGACCTCACGTCCCCACCAAGGGTGTCACGGACAGGCCGGACCTCACGTCCCCACCAAGGTTGGCACGGACAGGCTGGACCTCACGTCCCCACCAAGGTTGGCACGGACAGGCCGGACCTCACGTCCCCGCCAAGGCTGGCATGGACAGGCCGGACCTCACGTCCCCACCAAGGCTGGCAGAGCAGGAGCAGCAGCCCCAACATGCTGATGGTGACAGCAGCGGCCCGGGAGGCTTTGCCAGGCGTGAGGGACAGAGATTCCTGCCACAGCTCTGGGACCAGGTTTGGCCTTCCTTCTCCCAGCAGCCTGCAGGAGATTCTGTCATCTCCCCAACAGGACAGAGCCATGAGGGAGCCCCGAGACACGCTCCTGCCTCCAGAGCGATGCCACTTTGGGGTCCGGCCCAGTCCCACATGTGCTGAAGCTGCATTTTTCACCGCTAAAGCGGCACGGGACCACGCACAGGCACTTGTGTGTCCCCCCTCGTGCCTTTCCCCCGTCCATGGAAAGCTCAGGAAGAGCAGCCTGCTGTGCCCTGCTGGAGCAGGCTCAGCTCTGCTTTCTCCTCATCCCACACGTGCTGAGCAGCCCCTTTCTCCTCATCCCACACCACGGCCCCACCACAAAAAGGTTTCAGAGGGGATTCCTGCCCTGCAGAAGGCACTAGCAAAGCCTTTGGGAAGCAGGTGGTGGTTTTAAATTCCCAGCCCTTGTTTTACAGAGGTGACCAAGCGGGGTTAAACCCTTCTCCCGGAGGAGCAGGACTCAGGGCTGGTTCCTGCCCTCAGGGCAGAGCCTTCCCAAGGGCACAGGGCTGGAACACAGGAATGATCTCCTGGCCACACCTAACCCCCAAGGCAGCACCTGACCCATGGCACAGCCTCTGGACAGGGCTCAAACAGAGGAAAAAAGATTTAAATCCCTCAGTCTGAGGGCTCTTGTAGATTGTGACCCCATGGGCACATCTCCATCGTTCAAAGCCTTGAGGCTCACGAGCAGCTCTGCCTTTGGTGCCACAAACCACAGGATTTGGTCTCTATTGATCAGCATGAAAGGACATTTCTCCAGGGAGTGGCATGGCCTCACAGAAGCCTTAGTTCTCCCTCAAATCTGTCAGAAATGCATGTTTTCCCAGGAGAACGAAAGCTCACCTCCTCCTAAAACTTGTATTTTAGGAGAGCTGGACTTGGCACTGGAGTATTTTGCAAGATTGCATTGGCAAATCCCTTTTTAAAATTCAAAGCTGAACCCACACGAAGAGTGAGTGAAAATCTTCATATTTCTTTGGGTTGCTTGATAAGCAGAAATGTTTCTGCAAAGCCAGGAAAACAGAACTCTGGGGATTTTCTCGAGTTCTTTGCTAACATTTCCACTGTTGCCACCAGAGCAGAGCTGCACAGGAATGTGGAGGAATAAGTGGGGTGTGCAGAGCTCCTCCCAGCTCTGCTCCCAGGATCCATTTTCCATTGGTGTTCCAGGGGCAGGAAAAACCTGAAGAAGGCAAGAAGCCGAACCTCACAAGAAGCTGCAGGGAGCGCCCCAAAACAGCCAAGCCTGTCCTCATCCAGAGTCAAGGACCTAAATCCTGTGGGGGATAAACCCTCCAGGGAGGCAGTGAGTGAGCTGGGGGAAGGTGTGGCCTGTCCAGCCCCACGCCATGACCAGCACAGCCTCCCTCAAGCTCCCCACAGGCACCCAGGGAGCCACAGCCACCCCTCGTGTGACCTCTCAGCTTGTTTTGGCTCCATCAGCTCAGCCTGGCTCTGTCTGCTCCTTCCACTCCCAGGGCACCGAGGAGACAGCTGCAAACAGCTGGGCACTGATTCCCTCCCAGTCCCATACACCTGGCTGCTTTTCCAGCATCCAGCCCTCCTGATCCCCCTGTTCCTGCAGCAAACTTAGGGACAGTGGCCTTAATTGCAATTACTGCGTCCTCTGTCCACCCTGAGGGCCTGGGCTGAGTGGCCAGTGCTGTGCACCGCTGGCCACCAGCCAGGGCAAGCTGGCAGCTGTGCCTGCAGCCTGGTGTGTTTGCAGAACACCCAGTGGGAGAGTCTTGGGCTGGCTGGAGGAAAATACCCATCCCAATTCTCCTGATGATGGCACACAGGGATGGAGGGACTAAAGGAAAATACCCATCCCAATTCTCCTGATGATGGCACACAGGGATGGAGGGACTGAAGGAAAATACCCATCCCAATTCTCCTGATGATGGCACACAGGGATGGAGGGACTGAAGGAAAATACCCATCCCAATTCCGACAGTGGCACACAGGGATGCAGGGACTGAAGGAAAATACTCATCCCAATTCTCCTGACAGTGGCACACAGGGACACAGGGACTGGGACAATGCAGGAAATGTCCCAGCCAGGCGTCACAAAGCCCTTGTGGGCCAAGGCTGGGACGTGCCATGGTGGGATCACTCTGGAGGTGCAGAGAGCGGGCACTGCCTGGGCACACTGCCGGCCCCAGCAGCAGGTTGGGGTGCTTTTGGAGCCCAGCTCCAGGTCCATGCACGTCCCCGGGGCGTGTGGCTCCCCGGCCACTTTTCCCTGAGCAGAGGCGCTCGGGAAGCGGCTCCCGCCCTCCCTCTGCTCGGCCCGAGGTTAATCCCCTGCTGTGTGAAGCCTTTTGCCTTGTTCCTAACATGACTTGGCCTGGCTTTAATTTTCTGCCACTGCTTCTTGGTTTGAATTTCCCTGAATTCAAGTGGCTCTTTAGCAACCCGTTTTTTCTTTCTATGAATGCCTGTGAGGGCTGTAATAAAAATCATCTCCCAGGACTGGCATCAGGTCGGTTCCTCGAGCTTTGCTTTGCACCTGGTGGAGAAGACATCCCTGCACCCCTGCAGAGCCAGCTACGAGCAAAACCTGGCTGGGTGCTGAGGGCTCTGCAAGGAAAGGTTTTGGCTCCAGCTGCTCCACTGAGCCCAATCCTGCTGTCTCCCGCTCTCCTCTTTCTCTTACTCTGCCAAGGACCTCACAAGCCTTTTGTTCCCTGACTTTATTGTGCACAGATGTGCAGAACTTCATCAGAGCACCTCTACCTGAGCTGCCAGGCCCGGCTCTGGATAACCAGATTTCATTTAAACACAGATGT